ATAATAGAACCTATAGTCCGTCTCGACATACTTGACTTTGGACATGTCATACATACACTGGACGGATATACGTTGTCTCGGATAGATAGCCGATATTGTTTCTCGGTAGTCATCGTCGTTGTATTTTTCTAGTTTGTTGTAGTCGTCCGGAACGAAATAGCTGAAACGCAGCGTTATACTGAAGATTTTTGGGAGAACGACGAGGCGTCGCCAGATTGTCTGTGCGTGTTCTGCAGTACCACATGCCTTGCAGTTGGTCAATTCACAGTGATAAAATCCAGCATCCGTGACTTTTGCTTCTAGCTTGAAAACTTCGTATGAGGCAGTGGTGCGATTCACGTAAATCTTGAAACCGATCTTCTCAAGCTGTATTTCTCCACTTCTCCCTGCTTCTACGGCGTATCTGCAATTCGGAAGTGTTTCGTTGCTATGTGGAAGTGTCCCGAACAGGACAATTGGCCAACCTAGTACTACGGATGCTCTCCATCGAATGTTTAGTGGAAATAGCTGAAACTGTACGGACGTGTGTGTGCCAATTGTGTCAACTCGCAAAGTCTCGTTCCTGTCAGTTGAATCTGTGTGCCAAGATTTGAGTGAACCCTCAACTACCTTGATAAAGTTCTCCTGAATTCGCAGTGCGCTTACTTTGGCGTCAAACACGGTGCCGGTAAACAGCAACATTGCAAAATGTTGGATCAGAAGTGGACATATGGTATGGATACGAGCGAAATTCATTCCGTTCGTCTCCCGATATGCGTGTGACAACAATATATCTAGAGGTGTATCCTCCTTTGTTAGGTCATCAATCGACTGTATCCGACACGGACTGTTGAATATTCGATCTCGATACCGATAAAAGAGAAAAATATTCGACCGCCCACGTGGTGTTCCAAGACTGGCAATATACTTCACTGAAACCAGACCCTCCAGTTGCCAGACAGCGGTTTTCTGGGCGAAAAACTCCTGGGCACTAGTTACCGAATTGTTCCTCTGATCATGGAACGCCTGTTGCAAAATTGGTCGGGATGCGCGTGTGTGTTTTGTTAATATAACGGTATTGTGTCTTATCTCCACACGAATCATCTTCTCCCGTGCAAAACTCTGGTCAGACGAGCTCACATTGTAGTCGGTGGTAGATGGAGACTGGGTAAAATTCAGCTGACACGTGACAAACAGCGGACCTAGGACGTCGACAGATTTAGGAGCTCGGATTCGGTAGACAGTTGTGGTCAATATAAGACGGGAAGAGTTCTCACGGAACCGCGATACTTGTTCGAATGGGAGACTGTGGTTCGTATTGCGTTGTCTTTCGTACATGTGGAATTTGAAGGATGCATTTTGTTTTCCCGTGACGCCTTGCGCATCCGGATGGGTGCAGGAAACATAAAGATCCTGTTCACACAAGAGGAATGGCGTATCGTCCGGGTCGAGCTGAGTGAAGTTATCCTTCTTTGCTGTCTCTGCAGAGGTGCTCAGATGGTGATTCAGATTCATTTGTATCAATGAGGCATCTGGAATTACATACAACTTTCGCGGTGAGAAACCAAATTGCGATACACACTTCTCACACGCCACTTGATCTACTGCACACGAATAGATGCCGGAATCGGCGTAGGTAACTCGAGAGCTGATGAGGTTGAAGTGGATTTTTTCAGAGTACGTGTTGAATCCGAGCATTTCCACACGCGTTCCAATGGACACCCTGGATTTCCAGCTGACGTTGGCACGTACCCATCGATAGGCGGCATACAGACCGGGTTGTGTGTTCAAAGTGATCTCCTTCTCACTGACTGTTTGATCCAACGAAGCCCTAATGATTGAACCAACCTGCTTCCGCAGTGTCGGTGCTGTCTTCTCGTTGTCCAGTACAGTTTGATATCCGTTATAAACGACGGCCGCTACCGCGACGTGTTCAGGACGGAGCACACAGTAGAATAAGGCATGCACCACGTTATGCATTAATCCGTATGAGGATCCGGTTTGTTTGGGATTGGGTGAGTTACGGAGACTGGTCCACTTGCCTTTCTTGCATGGCTCTTCGATCAGATTGCCGTCGTGCTCGAGCAGCGTCCAGACAACAATATTTCCTTTGGGTTGCCCCAAAACAGCGCGCAAACGGAGGCCGGTCATGTTCTCCTGCATGTGTTGGATATCAGTTGTATTCTGACCAAAGTCATCAGGGTCCTCTGTCTCACCTGCAGATTTTCTGAACTCAGTTTGCAGACGCCGATCAGTGGATCTTGTGTATTCTACCAGGATTTCTGGCCTAATGGACCCTGCGATTTGGAGAACCTTCACCTCACTAAATGTGATGGGCTCAATGCTATCTTTCAGATTGCCTGGTATCGGCTCCTCAAAATGATATTGAAGCGTGCAGGCAACCTTAGCCGAACCTACATACTCTAGCCAACTCGGAGCATGAATGATGTAGGGATGCATTGCATGTGTGACGTTCGTACGTATAGTTTCCGCCCGGTGTGGCAAACCCTTGTTTGCTGCGACTGCGCTCATCTTTTGGTAGTTAAATGAAAGGAATGGACGTGTGTGCATACCTGCAGGGATTTGGTACACACAGTGTGTGTACGCGGCTGTGTTGCTCAGCAAAACAGGTCTTTCGTCAGAAGCGCGGATTGTGTAATTTGTTTCCCACGGATCATCTCTGCCCAATAGCTCATGGGTAATGGCTATGTGGAGTACTGATGGATCTGGCAATACTAAAAGCCTTCTCCGCAATATCACCACATTTTGTCCGGGGTAGGTTGTCAGATTGCAACCGTAATATCCACTCTCGTGATAACGGACGCTTGGCGTTGATAGGTAAAAAGCCTGGACATTTTCTTCAACTGGAACCACACCCCAGCTGCTTGAAATTGGACTTGGATCAGAGCTCGTTGTAGCCCAGTAGAAGCACTTCACATTGTCCGTCTGACCACCTCGACCGAGCATTCTCACTGTGGATCCGATGGGTACGGTGGCCACCCATCCAACGGACAGTTTCACTATCCTATAGCTAACAACGATCTCCGGTGCAAAAGACGGTTTCTCC